GGTTCTTAAAATTTAATGTTGATTTTATAATGTTAATGTTACCCCCATAAATTCTTAAGAAATCTATACCAAGAATACCGTCACCTTTGATCGGTATCTCATCATTAATAATGTTGACGTCATTCGTAACTATTTTATCACCTAACCTTATTCTCAAGCTAGCCTCACCTATTGTTTCTAAAGTGCTACCTGAGACACTAGTAATCCTAATCTTATTATTTAAATCGTCCTTGATGTCTACATTATCATTTAAATTTCAAAGTTTCAGTAAGCTTATTTCAGCACCGGTATCTATTAATAGATTGGCGAGATTATGTTTGTTAACTAGACACGATAGGTAAGCTTGTTTGAGTTCACGTATCTCATGAATACTATGAGGTTCTGATTTTTTTGTACATGGACCAGTTCTTGATCATTGTGATTTACTTTATTTCGTACTGTGGTTACCCTTCTAAATAATTCCTATTATAATTACAAATAATTATTATATATAATATTCGAAGCAAATTTGCTGTTGTAATGGGGTAGAGTTAGAATCAATGAATTAACACAATTTCAACACTACCGTCACTTTATTTTTGGGTATGTAGGTACAGAATACGGAAAGAACAGATATAAATATATAAAGTCACTAAGTCAACTATGCTACGCGTACACAAGGAGTAAAATTGACAAAGTCAGAGTTACTTTATCACACTAAGAGTTTACACAGCTTTCTTATTAAATGCCTCCGCATTCAATTCACAAAGTCCGAAAATTATTAACACTATGCCGTCCGGCGACACCACAGTGGTGTCGAGCGCGAACTAGCGCTTAACAGCCGGCGACACCACAGTGGTGTCATGAGCACAGTATCTTCCTTTGGCCAGTGGCAGAAATCTTTCCATCCTGTTGGTGTTTTAATTTAGATAACAAAAAATTACACCCCTCAACATTAGTAAGAACTAAAAATTTATAATTTTTCGATAATATTCAGAATGGGCGGGGACAAGCAAAGTGATAACGAATTAGCACTACCGGCGCCAAGCGAATAAATTTTTACAAAACGTGCGGACGGCAAAGTGTTAAATGCCTCTGCATTCAATATCACTAAGTCCAAAATTATTAAATGCCTCTGCATTCAATATCACAATAGAAAAGTATTAAGTGCATCTACACTTAATAACTTTTAAAACCGTTTTGTTAATCTTAACAAAAATAATTCTAATATCTTAAGCCAACTTGTTAATCTTGCAGGCGCAATCAGAACAAGTTCCTTAAGGTATTAGGGCAAACGCGACTAAACACTTTTTGACAAATTTCTTAATTTTCTATGGCCTTATATACTAATTGAGCTTCTCCTACTCCTGTAGTGGGGTTGATTTCTTGGCGAGGGTGGTGGTTCCTTCGTATCCTCTCGGAGATCGTCGTCGGTTCATCTCGCCAAAATCTTCGGGGGATGAGACGGTCATTGGTCTATGATGAACTCATCTCGCTGAGGTCATCAGTAATTGGCTATGGTGCATTTCCCTTCCGATGACGTAGAATGTGTAAATATTTTGGTCTTTCTCACACCCTTGTTGAGTCACAGGGCAAAAGTCGTATCGTGCTATCTTTTATCTTCCTTTTACTTGCGTTGACTCACAGGCTTATTAAGATGCTTGGTGCAAATTACACAACTCTTTTATCTCTCTCTAACGTTGTGCTGGTTTGTACGCGCTGAGGTCATCGAGCGCCCTAGGATCCTCCGTCCTCATCGCGCTTATGCCAGAGCGTATGCTGCATCGTGCTTTCACGCGTGACCCTTCGTTTATCGTTGTATGCGTAAAACTTTCTCGTGCGTTGTTGACAAAATATTTACGTGCAGCGAATTTTGTAAATATATTACGAATGTTTGTTAAAATAATAATTGTTACATGACTAATATTAATTAAATATAGAATGTTACAGACTCCCCCTATGGACCTACAGTCGTCTCGGCGGAGAGTCCATACATAAAACATTCTATTGGGTCGTAGTCCTCTTCTTGGGTCGACCGCGCTTTCTTATCGGAATCACAGGTATGACGTTTTCATTACCTAAGAAAGGTGATAAGGCAGATGTGTGGAATGTGCCTACGATTTCGTCTGTATTATCAGGGCGTCCTATTTCGTAGCTGGTAGGTCCTCTCTGTTGTAATATGATATATGGTCCGTCGCGTCGTGGAGCGAGTTTTGACGTGAAACCTCTCTTCGCGTTGCTCAGCGTATGCGTGGCTACCCATACTCTGTCTCCTGGACTGTATGCTTGACCAGACCGCCGTTCTTTGTCTGCATATTTCTTTCTCATATCTTGCTGCTTTTCTTGCGTCTCTCGTACCTGTTTGAAAGTGTCAGCCATCTTAAGTAGATACGGTGTGATGTCTGGTATGGGGTTTTCTTTCTCGATGATCGCCCTGAGATCTCTGTAGACATCGTCTGTTGTTCGAAGTTCGCGCGCCAAATTTAAGTACGCCGGAGTATACTCCGTACTCTTGCATATGGCTGAGTTCATCGCGAATCTTATCGCAGGTAACTTCCCTGGCCACGTCGTGTGTTTCTCACCCACTAAGATAGCTAGTTGAGGTTTTAGATCGCGGTTGCGTCTCTCCACTGGATTGGCTTGTGGGGTGGTACACCGGAATAAGGTGCTGTTTGATCCCTAGGCAGTGCGTCGTATGCTGCATGACTGCACTCACGAACTGGGATCCGTTGTCACTGATAAGCCTTCTTGGGAACCCGAACCGCAAGAAAACTTCATCCACTAGTGTTTTCGCACATTCTTGAGCTGTTGCATTTTTCAGTGCGAAAAGCTCCATGGTGCGATAATTTCTTTCGGCCGGAGTCAATAGGCGACTTGCATACTCCACTAGCCTTTCGTCGGCGCCTTCTCCTTGCAGTAATACTCCCCCTAGAGCGTAGCTGCTTGCGTCGGTTCGCAGGGTGTATGGTTTCATCTCATCTGCCTGCCTCAGGATAGGGCTCGTCATTAATGCTTCCTTGAAGAGATCATTGTTCTTGGAGAGTAGCTGCTGTACCTTCCATCGATCTTCTTCTGGAAATGGGTGTCCCTCATTTTCGCGCACACTCAGCTCCTTGGCGCTCAGAGAGGCTATGTGAATTGTAGGGATGATCGTAGCCGAGCGAAAACAGGTGTCGAACAGCGCGTCCAAAGTGTGCTGTTCGTCCTTCTTCTCCGTTGGCGTAGCTGAGCGAAAACAGGCATCGAACAGCGCGTCTAGTACCTGTCTATCATCTGTTTCATCCGTGTCCATTTCTTCTTGTGTTGGTACCGGAACGCTCATGGCAGCCTCGTTAACATGCTCTGCTGACCGCGTTACTTCGACTGTCCCGAAAATTTCACCCTCTGCTGCGAAAGGGTACTTTTGTGTCTGGTCCGAAAAATTCCACATGCGGTGCTTCATGTCTAGCACAAGACCGGCTTTGTGCAAGAAATCCATGCCTAGCAGGCCGGAATCACGACAAATTCCGTTGGCACTGGTCTGTCTTCTAGCCGCACAATGGTCGTCGTCTTCAATATGGGTCGAAGCTTTGATTCTCCATCCGCCATCGTCATTGTTATCATTGACGGTTCAAATTGGTGGTTCGTTGACTGTAGTAGTTTGTATAGCGTTTCTCCCGCGATCCTCTTTTCTGCGCCGGTGTCCACAAGTGCGTAACCCATTACGCCTTGGATTTGTGCTTTAATGACGGGTCTGGAGCAAGGATCTTGAACCGCGGATTCTTCTGGTTGACGGTTCCATCTCAGATCACGCGTCTTTATTCAGGCCAGGCGTCTAGGGCAGAATTCTTTTAAGTGACCCTTCTTCTTGCAGTAGCTGCATTTTCCTGGCTCTTGCGTGGTCAGGCTGAAGAATCCGACTCTTTGCGTTGTTGCTGCCTGTGCAGTTGTTGGGGGAGAGCAGACCGGGCACTTGCTGCGGATAACCCCTGCCTTGCCGCACCCATAACAGGAAATTCTCGCTTCGCTGCGAGTTTCTGGCTCCTCCTTCTTAGGGGTCTGCTTGGTCCCTTGGCGTTTGCGACATTCCGTGACCGTGTGTCCAGTGTGGCCGCAAAAAGAGCAGGTTTTCCGTCTTTCCACCGGATTACTCTCTCCCTGTTCTGCCTCGGAAAGGTTAGCTTCCACGTCGCGAGCTCTTTGAAGCAGCTCATCAAATGTATTGACCGTTGTCCGTGGGATGCGTTCACGGATCCGCATATGCAGTAATCCGTAAAGCATATCAAGCTGTATGTCTGTCGCGATATCGTATGGCAACTGCGCCAGCAGTGCCCTCTTTTGGTAAACGAATAGGTCGGTACTCACCTTCTTTTCTTGACGAGTGCCAAAAAAGTCTATGTAGACGCTGTGCGGGGGTTTACTTGGGGCGAACGACGTCCTTATCAAGTGGATCGCCTCGTCGAATGTATTGGCCTCCGACTTCACACCTTCCCACCACGTGGCCGCCGTGTCCTCGAGAAGTAGTGGTAGCCCCTTTAGCGCATTCTCGTCCGAGATGCCCTCCACGTCTTTGTACAAGACGATGGTAGTTGTAAATTCTTTCACCTTTTCAGGAACCCGCGTTCCGTTGAACCTGGCCGTGCACCTGGCAAAGCTGCCGGTCACCAAGTCCGACCGTGTGTTAGATTGTGTGCTTATCACTCCGATCAGTCGCTGCAACATTTCTTCCGACATGGTAACTGCCATTTTTCCGTTTCTGGCCACTCGGTTGAGCGCCAGTTTGTAATGGGGTAGGGTTAGAATCAATGAATTAACACAATTTCAACACTACCGTCACTTTATTTTTGGGTATGTAGGTACAGAATACGGAAAGAACAGATATAAATATATATATATATATATATATACAGTCACTAAGTCAACTATGCTACGCGTACACAAGGAGTAAAATTGACAAAGTCAGAGTTACTTTATCACACTAAGAGTTTACACAGCTTTCTTATTAAATGCCTCCGCATTCAATTCACTAAGTCCGAAAATTATTAAATGCCTCTGCATTCAATATCACTAAGTCCAAAATTATTAAATGCCTCTGCATTCAATATCACTAAGTCCAAAATTATTAAATGCCTCTGCATTCAATATCACAATAGAAAAGTATTAAGTGCATCTACACTTAATAACTTTTAAAACCGTTTTTGTTAATCTTAACAAAGATAATTCTAATATCTTAAGCCAACTTGTTAATCTTGCAGGCGCAATCAGAACAAGTTCCTTAAGGTATTAGGGCAAACGCGACTAAACACTTTTAAATATTTACGTACAGCGAATTTTGTAAATATATTACGAATGTTTTGGAAATACCTTTCGAATGTTTGTAAATATATTACGAATGTTTTGTAAATACATTTCGAATGTTTGTAAATATATTACGAATGTTTTGTAAATACATTACGAATGTTTGTTAAAATAATAATTGTTACATGACTAATATTAATTAAATATAGAATGTTACACTGTTAGTTTAATTGAAACACCACCTATTTTTAATAAACATCATTATTCAAGCATACAATTAGCTGCATAATATTATTCTAAAATTAAATATCACAATATATAACAAATATATACATTACAAATAAATTATTGCATTACATACATTATTCTAATTTTAATTCTTTACGTTTTAACATCTAACATTCCACATAGCTGTATCACATATTTCCATTCAATTATTATTGCTCAATAATGAATGCTTTTATAAATCTAATTTAGAACTAATTAATGGACGATATTTTGGATCAAACCCTCTTTGGCCAACACAAATAAATTTTTCGGTGATCACGCACGTGAGGATGCCACATATAGTCGCCTGTGCGAAGAACATTGATTTTCTAAATCAAGTCCACAAACGGACATTGTTTGTCCCTGAGCCTTATTGATAGTCATCGCAAATGCTAGTCGTATCGGAAATTGTAACCTGTTAAATGGTATCGTAAAATCTAAGTATATAATATGAATCCGTGATAGAAAAACCACTTTTTCTTTAAATTTCTCTGTCAAAATTGTTGCTTCTTTTATATTGCCTGTTATCTTCTTAACGACTAAACGTGTACCGTTGCATAACTTCGGCGGATTCAAATTACGCATCAGAATAATTGACGAACCAATTTTTAACCGTATTCCAGATACATCTATTGAATTTAGAAATTCCGTCGAACAATTCACACTTTCATTACCATCCACAGCTGTATCTATTGATTTAAAAGAAATAATATCGCCAGGTATTAACTGTTGTACTAAAATTAATGTCGTCTGCGTCCATATTCCTTGCTGCTTATATCGCCCTTCTACCCAGCCAGTTATGATTCAAATAATTTATTTGTATATTCCCAGTAAACCACAAAACGTAATGAAAACGTTAATAGAACGTAACAGATTATACGTGAAACATAGCGGTTACGTAACCTAGGAGGCACACAGACGTATCTATTTCCGCCTCAAAAACGTAACGGCCTGTTTCGTTACGCGAAAACGTAACGGTTTCGTTTTTGTTACGTTTCCAAATTGCGCGAAAACGTAACGGTTTTGTTTTTGTTACGTTTCTAAATTACTAAATTAACGTGTAGGTGTCTTTGATGTAACTTAAAAATTTAATAGAATTTGCTGTAAATATAAAAACCATTTTTTATATTAATTTTATTTCATATTTTAATTAAGAATTTACAAAATTTACATAATATATACTTAAAATTACAAAACTACAGAATATAAATTTGAATTTTAAAAAATTGATTAAACTAATACAAAAATTAACAATGCTAACAAATTTCTTCTTAACAGGATGGAATTAACTGTTTTATTTTAATTATAAAATTTAAAAATGAGTATTGTGGAATGTTCTTGGGTTCTCTGTTTTATTTTAATTATAAAATTTAAAAATAAGTATTGTGGAATGTTCTTGGGAACCTTTGTTTATCCAATTAAAACCATTTCACTGCTTTTTGTTTGTTAATGTATCTGAAACAGAACCAAACATGTTATAAACAATTCAAACAAATTGTTTATCGATAATATTGATTTAAATTTTTTGCAACATTACCTCTAATAATATTTATTATTTTCAAGTTATTGACAGGTAGGCAGTCCTTTCAACAATACCAAAAACATATTAATTCTTCGTCGAATTACACTTTAGACAATAAAGAAGATTTCAGTCTCTTAATTGATAAATCTATTTTTGCTAAAGTAAAAGCAATAGAAAATTATGAATTGCAAATATTGTGATTATTAATATAAATTGTAAAAATACTTCTAATTACCTCTAATTACTTTTATCATTTATTCAGAACATATAGCAGTTAATTGTTTTATGAACATATTGCTCAAATATTGTCTTAATTGTTTTTTGTCACTTCAGCCGAATTTCATCCACCGACTTTTAAATCATAATTTTGCTGAAACTAAATCATAAAAAATTAATACTAAATCATCTAATCATCTCTAACTATCATAATGGGGTATACCAATTCCACAACACACGACACGAGTGTCATCATTTAATGTTGTAAAAAATGTTATTCTTCTTCAAATCATTTTTGTTGATGATGGTGGATTATTATTTTATATTCTAACTTTGCATTCATATTCTTTATTTGAGCAAATATCTTTATTGTGGAATCCGTTGTTGTAGCTGCATTATGTTCTAAGTCATTATTTCTTCAATTGAAAACCATTGTATTAGTTTTTGTTCCTGTTTAGCCGAACCATATTATTTGTTACTGAAGGGCTACAAATATTAAATATGTATTTGTATATCTCATTTTTACTGTTTCATAACCTTTTGACTCAACATCAATAACCATTGAGGTTATGATTTTTTGTAGAATTTAATTATTATTTGATAAACATACATTTGATGAAAACATCTACAAATAACAAAATACGCGAATAGAATTTCCATTAATGACCAACTATATACTGAAAAAAACTAATCATTATTATAATAATATAAAAATTAAAATAATTTACACATGTTTTATATTTATACTTACCTTGATCGATTCCATTTTAAACATTTTAACTGCACACTGCATAACTAATACGTTCTACATTAATCATATAAAACATTAATCATATAAATAATGATTAAACAAATGTTTCAAAAGAATGAAATAATTTGCTTGTCATAGTTCAATATGAAGCGTCATAGACAGAAAAGTAAAATATATAGAGTCACGCATAGCTTATAATTGTGATTTCGTCGCATAGAGTCACGCTTAGATAAAAGAGTAGAACACGTAACCTATCTTTTTGACAGTTTTGTGCAACAGCTGTACCACACCGTCCATTTTGTATGTTAAATTTTAAAAACAGTGTAACTTAACGGTTACGTTATAAAGAAAACCATGCATTAACGTTTAAAGGTTATAATTAAACGTAACATTTACGTTTTATTAACGTAACTATAAAATACGTAACAACGTTTCTTCTGTGCTACGTTACTTTAACTTTGTGTGACGTTTGTGGTTTACTGGGTTGTGATAAATACTATTAATAAGCACATTGTTTCTTGATAATTCCGTTTTTGTTTCCTATTTCCTATATGAATTAGTTTTTCTGAAAAACTTTCGTGCTGATGGATGTTGCTCCAATCGCACACGCATGTTGATGGTCAATTTAAAATTGTCAACACTTTGCCACAAAAGGGATTGTTTCAAGCATACATTGATCTCATCCGCGAAAGTTGATCATCTGATAAAAGTAATAAAGCACCACCAAAGCAAAATTTTATCGTTGCCTTTCAAATCTTGCATATTTCTATGCTATGCAAAGAGTATTTATGTGCCTTTGTGCATTCATCCCTAATTATGATTGCACTGTTTTGCAATACAGAAGATATTCTTTTTTATAATACATGTCGCATTTTCTTTATTGTGTATGTCTGATGCTTGAATGTGGAATCTGCTGTTCGCCCTCCATCTAGCAAAGTAGTCGCCATACCAAAAGGTGCTCTTGCCAATGCTATTTTTTCCGATCTCACAAGAATCAATGATATGACAAGCATCTTACCTGTTCCTCCTGACGCGTCCAAGAAAAAGAAACCCTCCTGTTCTGCAGCAACGGTCAGCATAACCCTATCGTAAAAAGTTATCGTAGTTTTAAAAAAAAGTTATTATCGTAATTTCTCACTGTTTTCCATAATACTTGTTAAATTTTGACTGGAGTAAAGAAATGCTGGTTGTATTATTTTTAATATATATTTATTGAGATGTTTGTACTTTGAAGGTTGATGGCACATCGGCATATACAGGCTGAAGGTGGCGCGTATATACTACCAACCTATCAGCCATAACGCTCGTTGTTGACAGTTCACAACGAGCGCGCGAAATTTAAATTATAACTTTGAATGGCAATTTTGTCCATGCTCCCGCGCGATGCGAAAGCATCACAAACTATAACAAAAATACAACAATGATAAATATTTACAACTGATTATTTCGTAAGATCTTATATCTAAACTAATTAAAACATAATCATCTTAATGCTAACAAAACAAACCTTGCAATATGAATAGTGGACTGTATAATGATATAATAAATGCATGATGATTAGCTGATCTTAATAAAAATAATTGTCTCAGTCTATAATAAAAACATATTCCTAACTTAATATTATTTCAAGGTAAAACATTTATATAAAATTGATAGCATATTTTAATTATTTATTATACTTTAACAATAATTCGATAACTTTAATAATAAATGTTGATAAGAAATACTAAAATATAACAGATTATAAAATGTATAGGCTAATGACAAGGTAGAGGGACGATTTTAGTAATTGAGCGGGTATAAACACTACTACTAGTCTTAACTTGAAATACTCTAACCGTGCCGTCAAGTCCAGGACTTGTACTTATTATACGGCCAATAGGCCAATGTGATGGAGGTGCATTGTCTTCTTTCAATAAAACTATTGTATTTAATTCAATATTTGGTCGTTCTTTTGACCATTTTTGTCTTTTTTGTAGGTCTGATAAGTATTGTTTTGACCATAAAAACCAGAACTTATCTTTCATCTCTGCTATTTGCTTAATCAATTTAGTTGCCTTGACATTTGCAATATCGTTATATGGTTCTGGAAAAGATGTTAAGGCGTTACCAATTAGAAAATGACCGGGGCTAATATAAGATATATCAGAGCTATCATCTGTGAGGGTAAGAAGTGGTCTCGAATTAAGTACACCTTCGATCTGTAGTAATACTGTCATATACTCTTCAAACGTGAGACAGTGCGACCCGATAACTCTTCGAATGTGATGCTTCACACTTTTATAGATCCCTCCCATAAATCTCCAAAATGGGGTGCATGAGAGGGTATGAATTGCCACGTTATCCTCAACCGAGCAGACGACGAAATGATCTCTTGTTTGGACATCTCAGATTGAAACATTGTGACTAATTGCCGTAACTCATTTTTGGCACCAACAAAGTTTCTCCCATTGTCACTATGGATCACGGAGCAACAACCACGTCGTGCAATAAAGCGTCGCAAAGCTGACATGAAGGCTTCTGTAGAAAGACGCGTCACCAACTCAATATGAATTTCCTTAGTAGCCATACAGACGAACAAACAAATATATGCCTTAATGCGCGGAGCCTTTCTTAATCTACTAGACCTTAATTCAATTGGACCTGCAAAATCAACACCTACCACCTGAAAAGGTGGATAGGCAGTGACTGGCTGCTCTGAATCTAGCGCATTTCACACACCTATGAATGATTCGTTTTATTGTATTTCGTCCGTCAATAGGCCAATACCTCAGTCTCATGTTCGCCAATGTTGTTTGTGTGCCAGCATGCAATAACCTCTCATGTTTTTTTTTATTTATGATTTATTGGCTTTATAAACTAGTACATTAGCCATATAGTCAGAAGCTCAGTCACTGAATGGTTTTTAGGCAATATAATGGGATGTTTCTATTCATAACTTACGTCTGCGTTTTCCAATCTTCCACCTACTCTATTCGGCATCCATAAAAGGATTTAATGACTTCAGCTTGCTGTAGTTGGTGTCAAGTTGGTTACTAGAACTTAACTGTTCAGCCAAATTGCCAAAAACCTCTCTTTGAGCTAAATAAACAATGCGCTTAGAGGCCCTCTCTATCTCGTCAACTGACAATGACCCTAAACGCCTGGAGCCCCCATCTAAACGATGCATTTCTGGCCACCGAATCCAATAAGCCACCACCCTTACTGCTTTATTGAAGGTAGAACGTTTTTCTAAAACTAACTTCAAATGCTCATTATAAACAGTAACAGTCGTGACCTCAACAAACCTCTGAGGCCAATTAGTGGGATCCTGCAACAACCAAGCTGGCCCAATCCACCAGAGATTATAACCAATTAATTTTGATGGTGTTTTTACACCTCTAGATACTATATCGGCCGCATTATCTTTGCTGCAGACATGTCTCCATACTGTGCCTGGCGTGTGATCTAAAATTTCCGCAACCCTATTGCTCACAAACATTTTCAATAGGAAAGGATCCGTCTTCAACCAGGCAAGAACAATAGTTGAGTCACACCACAAGGTCTCAGAGATTTTAATGTCCGATATTGTTGTTATCTGCTTATAAAGCTTTGCTAATAACAAAGCCGCAGATAACTCTAACTCTAACGCCTGAAAACCCATGGCATTGTATATCCACAGGAACCGAATGGAACACACAACGCGGAATTGTCAGGTTATCAAGATCCGACAAATGATTTTTGAATAAATCCCACCTAACTTCTCGCGACAATGCTTCGTCCCGTTCCAGATTATGCCTCCACAACTCCTGCATAATTAACTTAGCTGTAACGATAACCGGAGATATGAGCCCAATTGGATCATAGATCTGTGCTATAGTTGATAGCACAGACCGTTTGGTGTCAACAATCTGCTGCGCCTCCGCAACCGAAACCTTAATATGTGAGTTCTTAAAACAATCCTGTGAAGGATTCCATGCGAGGCCAAGGGTTTTGACTGTATCTCCTTCTGAAAACAGCTGAGCTTCTATTATTTTTGATTATTGAACGACACAGAAACTTTCATGTGCCGCATGCATAAACAAATTATAACCGAGTAAACACAGCACTGTTTTTGCAGGCTTTAAATACTTTTCGGCGATCAAAAATTGCAAAACTATTCTTTGCACCAGTACTTATCCGTTACGATGGACCATTTATGGAGTAAAGAAATGCTGGATGTATTAATTTTAATATATTTATTGAGATGTTTGTACTTCGAAGATTGATGAAGAAGAGAGTGAAACATTTCTTATACAATTTGCACATTGGCATATACAGGCTGAAGGTGCCGCGTATATGCTACCAACCTATCAGCCATAACGCTCGTTGTTGACAGTTCACAACGAGCGCGCGAAACTTAAATTATACCTTTGAATGACAAATTTGTCCATTGACAATAATATTTTTTTTTCTCTTTCGTAATCGGTGTTGATGCAATCGGATAGTGGGCGATTAGGTGATTGCAATCCAAAAAGATCAAGTTTTAAATTTGAAATTTTAAGACATAAATCTTCTAGCAACACTGATGCTTCATTATAAATCTCCGGTGTATAGTCTATGTTCTGGATTTGATATATTTTTCTAAACGTATGTAAAATATTTTCCGACATATAGTTTTTCCACAAATTTTTTGCATGCGATGGATAGCACGTTGTTAATATTATTGGGAATAGTTGCCGAATGTTATTGGTCGTTGACGTAACGAAGCATCAGGCTGGGTCAATCCCATTGGTTATCATCTTCCAATAATTGAATCTCACTGCATCCATCTCTATATGTATTGATTACTTGCCCATTAATTGTTCGCAAATGTTCAAAAGAAGGAGCAATCGTAAATAAAAACATTCACTTTTGCTTCAGATATACCGTGTAAAATCTATCTCTTTGTTTTGAATACACTTGTGATGTTTTCATGTGGTTTATCTCTTTTTCTTTGTTCCCACTGTTTGCAGCATTTGTTCCACGTAAAATAACGTGGAATATATCAATGGCAAATAACATATCAATATTATATATCGTTTATTGGCACAGATTAACAAATTCTGTTAACGTTATTCTTGGTCTCTCAATTGTTCTCTGTCGAAAATCTTCATTGTCACATTGTCCGTTTTCGAGATGAACTGCCAGATGCTGGACAGGCGAGTTTCTATCGTGATCGGGAAAACTGAAAATGTGCCAAATAGCTGCGTTGCTGCTAATGCCTCTACTCATTTGATGTTGTGTTATTTCGTCATTTTTATTAATAGTTTGTTCGTATATGAATGTCGGCATGAGGCACGTTTTTGCCATTCAATCGAGTATAACCAACATCGCGTGATATCATAAACAGAATATTTAACGATAGAGTCAATTAATGATTTCAGTTACTGTCTAAACACTCTCACAGTTATGTCATGCTGATAATTAGTATGTTGTCCTTGTCATAGTAAGCTTCGTATCTCGTTCCAATTAGAATTACACGTGAACGAAATAAACAAATCCGGTCGTCCATAATAGCGTACATAAGTCATCGCATCTTGTATGTTTTCCTGCATGTTCCGTTCATCTAACACGTATTTATTCATAAGCAAACCGTAATCAATAATAAATAATATTTCAGGCAATGCACGTGGAGCATTGCATGTAATTTGCGGGATGAACTCTGTTACAAATCACGCATGTAGGTTTTTCTGAAGTCGTTTTGGTACATTCAAACTGCCTATGTTGGTTTTTACACTTGGCACATCTTAGGTCCATATTGCAGTAACCAGCCGTGTGTCCGAAGTTTTGACAAATGTAACATTGGATTACGTTACCGTTTAACTTGTAACGCTCACATTTAACCGAGAAAGTTAGAAGTTTTTTGTTTCGGATTATTTGCATGTTTGTTGTCTAATAATATGGCATAAACTGGAAAACTATCTATCCACTTTTGTCATTTTTATTACATGTTTTGCACGACAGTAATCATTTAAATATTCGGCCATGATTGTTTGGGGATCGGTATTTGGTGGTATGCCCGTGGCTACAATCTTCTAGAGTGTTTGGTCTTTATGAGAAAACTTGAAAAATTTTTTATTCGAATGTTTTTAGTTTATGCACAATTTTAAAGTCATGAATATTGTTTGTTTGCACTATGTAATGGTTTTGGCATTTATGTATACGTATACCACACTTATGGTTTCGTTGCTTATATCACAAATACTTTTATAATCACGAAAATCGTCATTAACAACAATGTGTGGCATTTCTGAGGGTATATGATCGCTTTCACGTGTGTTCACTTCGTTTTTACTATT